TATCAGAGTGACTTTGCTTTTTCTCTTGAAATATGGAAAATTTTTTTGAAATGTAAGAGAGAAACTCCCCAGCCAAGAAAGAACTTAAAACGAGACTAAGTCCAACTTTTTGTTTGTTTGTTTGTTTTTTAAGTGAGGGAATGGTAACTGTTCACTGAGGGGTGAGGGAGACTTCTGGAAGGGAGATGGTGGTGAGGTTGAGATGAGGAGTCCCAGGCAGTCACAGGGGAACTTACCAGTGACATACTGGGCATGGAAGTGGGAGGGGGAGAGTGGGGGGGTTCATTTAATTGTTAAACTATAACTAAAGAACTCCATTTCTTCTTTAGTATATATCAATTACTTTGCAGTAAAACTGGAAAAGCTAGAGAAAAGTGCTTTGACTTACATCCGGGAGTGAGACAGCAGTTCTGACAGACAGAAGGAACTGAGACAAGAAGGAAGCTGGTCCATGAGTGGGGAACAGAGGCCGGGATACGCGGGGCACTGCAAAGGCCCAGAGAACCTCCAGGAAGGAAGAGGGTCTCCTAGGAGCAGGGTGGGAGGACAAGGCCAGGAAAGTTCCGGCGTTGGCCAGCGGGGGGTGATGTCTGCTCAGGTGGAGAAGCAGCAGGGTGGCTTCAGGCCCAGGGGACAACGGCCGAGCCGCGCCTCTGGGGGGCAGTCCAGGGGAAGGGCAAGATGGCCCCCCTTCAGCTCCTCTGTGCTCTGAGCGCCCCTACCCCCCGCTCTGTCCTTCACCCCCCAGCACAGCTGGCTAGAGGGGAACACGACTCCGGCCGGATATGCTATTCCTGCACCTCACAAGGTCGTGACTCTGCGGGCCGGCCAGGACTGCAGGCGGGAGGAGGGCACGGCTGTCCTTTCCCTGGGAGCCCGAGCCCCGGGAGCACAGAAAGAAGAGGAAGCCGTCAGGTAGGGGGCTGGGGGTGCCCGGGAAGAGCCCGGAGTTCAGGCTCAGCCTGTCAGGGTCAGCGTCCCCTCCAAATGCAGGGAGCCCTTCGTGCCCAGAGGAGCTGGGTGCTGGGCGGCCCAGCCTCCCAGTGCAGTGAGGCCCACTGGCTGGGTCTCACCTTCCGGCGGGCTCCGTGGCAGTACAGGAACCGCTCCTTCGAGGAGAAGGCGCCCGGCCACCTTGCTCTGTTTGTCTTGGGAGCGGTCACTGCTGAGCAAATAGGGAAGGGAAATCTCAGATTCTGTATTTCTTCTCCTTCAGCCATTACTCCGGGCCTCCTGGCCCACTGCAGCCAGGCCCCTGACCACTGTGCAACACCGTGTGTGTGCGTGTGCCTGCATGTGTGCATATGTGTACGTGTGTGTGCACGTGTGTGCATGTGTGTGTGTGTATTGGGGTGAGGGTAGGTACCAGCAAACACCCCAGGCATGGGCTGGAGCTGAGGGGGTGTTGTGGACTGAGCCCCACTGTCCCGGTTGCCCCCTTAGAGCCCCGCAACCCTGTCTGTCACCTTAGGCCGTGGTTGTGAGTGCTTAGGTTTCCAGAGGGGGAAACTGAGGCTCTGGGTAAAGAAGGAAAGATGTTGCCAGAGGGTGGGAAGCCGCTGTGCATACTCTTGGACCTCCTGGTCCTGTCTAGAACAGCAGTGGGAGCTGGCGAGTGTCAGGGCACGGAAGAGGAGCTCTCCCCATTCACCTTTCTTCTTTCTCCCACAGAGACTCCCGCTGAGGCATCTCTCATGGCCGAGCTCCTGCCGCCTCTGCTGCCGTGGGCGCCCCCACTGGCCCAGGAAAGTGGCCGGGGTTCGCCTGTGCCCCCAGCAGAGTGGCTGAGCCGGCAGTCACAGAGTGACGGGGCTGAGGACCTGGCCCCTGAGTCCTGGAAGCTCCTGAAAGTGCCTGTCATTCACATAACACCATCCAGTGATGGGGAGTCACCCCCAAGCACCCCAACAACCCCGCGCCTGCTGAGGACCCCAGTCCTGGAACGTCTAAGCCAGGGCAGGTCAGAACTATCAGGGGTAGGGTGGGCAGTGGGCTCTGTGTTCCCTTGTCTCTTGGGCCTCATACGCGGGCCAGTCTTAGGTAGCCTCTGTGGTGTCCACTCACTCACCATGCAGGTAAGGGGCTGAAGGTCAGTTCCATCACAGGGGCCTGAGGTTGTGAAACAGACACACAAACAAAAACAGGCAATCGTGGGACCTGTGTCTCAGGACAACTCGGCCAAAGCCAGCTGTTTACAAAGACCAGGTCCCCTTTCACCCACAATCTGTTTTTCCATACTCTCGATTATGACCCACGATGGGCCATAATTCCTAGGGAGTGCCATGGAATCAGGACTCGCAAACAAAGACAGGATAGAATTGCAAATAATCCCACGTAGGAGACATGGTGAACTGTGGCTTCCTGTGGCTTTTGTGATGTTGCGTGTTTTTTTTTTAAGTGTTTGCCAGAGGCCGATGTAAAAGGTATTTCCTGTTGCAGCTCATAAGCAAGAGAGAGAGAGAGAGAGAGAGAGAGAGAGAGAGAGAGAGGAAATAGAAGAAATAGTTTAACTAAAACTTCTGCAAAGAAATGCTACCACTGGCACCAGAAGTCAGGAACTGGGAGGTTCAAGGCTATAAGAGAGAAGAGGCCTCTGGAAAAAAAAATCTTCATGTCTTCTTCCACAATGGGCCCTCAATCAGAATTCAAGCTATTGAGTCAGGGGGGTTCAGCAAGAAATCTGGGAGGAAATGATGGAAAAAGCAAGTTGCGAAATGATACTTAGGAGGAACCTAAGCTATGAGTTTTCTAACGGACATTGAACAATAGACTGACTACACTGTGGGTGGGTACATCCTAAGGTAGGGAAAGCAACTTGGACTTCAGGCTGGAGGGGAAAATGGGGTTGGGCGGTAGAAAAAGGAGACAGTGCCAGCTCTGTGGATGCTTGGGGGTATACTTGGGGGACCAGGGATCAAACCTGGGCCTTCCGCATGCAAAGCATGAACTCAACTCTTTGAGTCATCTCTCTAGCCCATAGAATCATTTCTTTTTTGAAAAAAAAAAAAGACAAATCATGGGGCTAGAGAAATAGTTCAGTAGGTAGGGGGTTTGCCTTGCACACGGCCAACCCACGTTCCATCCCCAGCACTCCATAGGGTCCCCTAAGCACCAAGAGTAACCCAGTAGCATTGCCAGATATGCCCCCTGCAAACCAAATAAATGAAAGGCCCTCCCGTTGATCATCGATTTGCTCGAACGGGCCCAGTAACGCCTCCATTGGAGACTTTTGTTGTTACTGTGTCTGGCATATGGAATACATCACGGGGAGCTTGCCAGGCTCTGCCGTGCGGGCGAGATACTCTCGGTAGCTTGCCGGGCTCTCCGAGAGGGGCGGAGGAATCGAACCTGGCTCGGCCAGGCTGGCTGCGTGCAAGGCAAACGCCCTACTGCTGTGCTAACTCCAGCCCAAAATAAATTAAAAATCAGTAACAAAAATAGCAAAACGTTCAACAATGTGGGAAACACAGAGGAGGATTATATTTTTTTTTCCCTGATGAAATAACTATTTCTTAGTTTCAAGTCTGTGTTTTGAAAAAAAGAAGGCCAGCCAAGAGATATGGAGCAGACCGGGTGAGACTAAGGCAGTGAGCCCGAGCAGAGGGCCAGGCTGAGGGGGCCAGGCAGCAGGGGAGCCGAGAAGATCCTCTGCAGTGAGAAGAGCAAGTGCAAAGGCCCAGCAGCAGGGCTGGGTGTGAGGCACTAGCTGGGGGTGGGGGTGGGGGGATGGCTGGCAGTCTAGGTGAACCCTTTCCTCCCCTCCCCACCTCCGTGGGGCCTGGCCACAGCATCCGCACTTTGCTTTCATTATCTTGAGGGTCAGCCCCAGGAAGGGCTGAACCGGGAGAGCACTGACCACTGACGTGCCTCAGGCCCCGCGGGCTCTTCGGGCTCTTCGGGCTGTATGGGGAGCAGGCCGTGGGGCTGGGCGGGAACAGCCCGGTCCAGCAGGTGAGGGCAGAGGCTGGATGGGCTGGAAGGGGGGAGGGGCGGGAGGGCACTTGGGGTGAATAGCGTGGGCAAGACCAGGGTTTGATGAGGAATTGGAGGTGGTCGGGGAGGATGGGCAGAGCAGAGCGGTGATGGTGGAGGTTGGGGGGCGGCTTCTGGACATCCAAGCGGAGAGACCTCCCAGTGGCTCTGCAGGAGAAGGTTCACGTGAAGGCCTGCGAGGGGGCAGGGGTGCAGCTCCTGGGACCATCTGTCCTGGAGCGGGTGGGGAGCAAATCCCGGGCTGCGGGCTTGGGGGGGCGGGGGCGGGCGGAAGGGGCCTCCACTGGGAAACTGTAGCGTTTACCTCCTTTCTGTGTGTGTTCTTGGGCGAGGAATAATCAATAATTCTCCCTAGCACCGCCTAGGAGGGCGCCAGTTCCACCACCGGAGAGGGGCAGCAGCCTACAACGACCAGGCGGCCGGTCACGTTCCCGCGCCCCGCACCACCCTATTCTAAGAGGGCTGCAGGGCCGCGCCCCCCTCTTCCGTGGGAAAGCCCCTCCCATCGCGTAGCGGGGGTCCGTCGTCGCCCCACCGAAGCCCCGGGGGAGTCTGATCTAACTGGGTCAGGCCCACTGGCGGGGCCCCAGCAGCGTCCGTCCTCCCCACTCGAGGGGGGCTGGGGGGTGGGGGGGCAGAGACTGGCAGGGGCAGCGAAAGGCGGCCGGCCGGGGCCTGCCTGCGGGGGCATTCGACCCCCACCGTGCTGGCGCGCGTCCGCCGCCCGGGCCTGGGCCACCCCGCGGGTCCCGGTCCCCGCGGGCGGGTGGCCCCCGGCTGGGGCGCGCGGAGGGGCGGGGCCGGGCGCGCGGCGCGGCGCGGCGCTGCGCGTCTCGGGGTGCGACTCGGGCCGCGCGCGGGGCCGGGCCGGGCCGGGCCGGGCCTGGCGGGCGGCGGGGGGCGGCGCCGTGACGCGCGGGGCGGGCGCAGGGGCGCGGGCGCGCGCGCGGCCTCGGGCGGCGGCGGCGGCGGCGGCCTTTGTGCGGGCGGCGGGCGCGGGCGCGGCGGGGGCGGCGGCCCGGCTCGGCGACGCGGGGCCCGGCGGGGACGCAGCGCAGCAGCCCGGCCGGCCGTGCCCGGCAGCGGGGCGCCCGCCGCGCCGCACCCATGTTCGAGTAAGAGGCGCGCGCGGCCCGGCGGGCGGGGACGGGCGTGCTGGGGGCCCGGGGCGGCCCCGCGGGCTGGGGTAGGGGGGCGGGGAGCGATCGCGCGCGCGCCGGGGGCGGGGACGGGGGTCGCGGAGGGTCCGGAGCCCCCGCGGGGCTGGGCGAGGGCCGGGCGCGGGGCCGAGCGGGCCCTGGAGGGGAGGGGAGGCCGCGCCGAGCCCGCGGGGGGCCCCCTCCCTGCGGCCCAGCCTGCCGGGCGCGTGGACGGTGCGTGGCGGGGCTCCCGGGGTGCCCAGCAGCTGGGCCCCGCGCTCCTGCCCTGGGGCCGGAGCGCTGCCGTCCAGCGTGGCACCCCCTCTGCGTCTTGTGCAGGGCTCTGTTGCCCCGTGGTGGCCGGTGCGAGGGTCATTTTCCCTCCTGGGTCCCGGGGGTCCCTGCGCGCCCCCCTCTGTCCGCCCCGCGAGTGCGGTTGGCGCCTGTTGGCGTGTGCACGTGTGTCTGCGGCCCCCCTGCGCCCGCCCCAACGCTGACCCTCTGCCGCGTGCGCCCGTGGGCCACGTCGCTGTGTGGGCTTGCTTTTCCCCCTATCCCAGTGTGTGTCCATTCGTGGCGTTGTTGCTGGACATGCCTGGGCCTGGTGGGCTTTGTATGTGTGGGGAGAGCCAGAGGGACCCCCGGTGTCTGTCAGGGATCTTGGGGTTCCCCCCACCACTACTGCCAGAGATCTGGGGTGCCTCCTTGGTTCTGGCAATAGTATACCGACTGATACTATCCCCAGAGAGTTTATAAAGCTTCTCTGGTCCTCCAGTATCCAGGTACCTTATTGTCCTGAGTGTCCACAGCCCACCAGGGTGGGTGATGTGGTTTCTCAGTCCCCCCACCCCCACAAGGCAGAGGGGGGGTGTCAGCAGCGACCACTCCATTGCCTGCACTTTGCAGTGGCCTGAGCGCTGACATCGTGGCTTCACTTGCCTTCTGGTGTGGGTATTGGCGGGGGTCGCTGACATCTGTCCTTGGGCCATGTGACTGGCTCATTGCCCCTCTGAGTCTTGGGTGGAGGGCAGGGGGCTTGGGGGAGTGGGGGGCAATGCCATTGACCGCAGCTTGGGGTGGTTTGCTGTGTGTGTGTGGGGGGGGGGTTGGCCCTCTGCCTCTGCTTGTGTGCGGAGCTGTAGCGGAATGACAGGGGACACTGCCCCTTGGGGGACCCGCACGCTTGTGGCACTTCCGTCCGCCCTGAGAGTGAGAGTAGGTGTGACTCTGGTGTGTGGCACCACGTTGAGGTTTGCTTCTGGGCCCACCCACTCCGCCTCTGGGCCTCTGAGCATGCGGAGTGCGTGGGGCCTGTGGACACCCAGCACGCTGGCAGCGGTGGCTGTCTCCGGTGGCCCAGCTTCCATTCTCTGCAGTGTCTGTCTGTCCTCTCAGTAACGGTCCTCCAGCCGCAGGCTCCTCCCTTCCCCTCTGCTGGTTGGGCAGCAGCCTCACGGCTGTTTCTGCCTCAAGCACTTCCTCTCAGGGCTGCCAAGAGGCTAGAACTGGGGGTGCAGGCCCTGGGCAGGGTGTGCGCCTGTCCTCAGGCGCCCTTTCCCTGGAGGGCTGGACAGGGCGGGGGAGGGATCTTCCAGGGCTTTCCCCCCCACCCCCAGGGGCTGCGGTGGCCTCTGCCCTCCTGTCCTTCTTGGGCCCCGCCGGCCACCCCTCACTCTTCAGACGGCCCAAGCCTGGCCCTGCCCTGGCTGGTTCCAGTCCTGCACCCTTTTCTTTGTCCCCTGTGTCCCCGCACACCGGGCCACCCGCACCTTCGCCCAGCCACCCATCCTTGACTTCTGTGGTCCTTGCCAATCTGACGCCGGTTCTGCCCACTTTCTTCCTCAGGATGTCCCAGTGGGCCCCAGAACGTGGGCCCCATGTTACAACTTCCTGGGGTGGCCGGGCCTGCGTAAGGGCCCCGCATGGGATCTGCTACTCATTGTCCCCGTGTCCAGGGCCCACTGTCCCTGTGTCCAGGGCCCACTGTCCCCATGTCCAGGGCCCACTATCCCCATGTCGGGGGCCCACAGTCCCCATGCTCGGGGCCCATTGTACCCATGCCCCGGGCCACTTTGGGGAGACGGAACTGGCCCCGAAGCCCCAATTGTGTGGTTGTGTCTCGAGTCTCCTCACAGACCCTAGTGGTGGCACCGAAGCCTGTGAGTGTGTGTGTGTGTGTGTGTGTGTGTGTGTGTGTGTGGTGGGTGGCAGGATTGTTCTCTTTCTCTGTGACTCGAGGAACCAATGCACAGGGAGGTCCAGACACTTGTCCAGGGGTACACAGCGAGGAAGCAGCTCAGGCCCAGCTCTCTGTGCCCCTAGCCCACATCCTGCTTGAATCCAAGGCCTGCCAGGGCTGCGGGTGGAGGGACTGTCACCTGTTCAGTTCTGGAGATCCAGGCCCAGAGGTGGGGACAGCTGGAGGCCAGCATTCTCCCTCCCCCTCTCCCCCCTGCCCTCCTGGGGGTGGGGGTGGGATGAGAAATACAGGCAGGTGGGAGGAAGTGCTACAGAGAAAGAGGAAGCAGGAGAGGCTGGGGGGGGCGTGGTTTCAGTCAGGAGGTGACAGAAGGCAGAGAGAGAGAGAGGGGGCCAGGAAGGGTGTCCCGGGTGGAGGACACAGTCAGCAGGTGCTGGAGGCGGGAGGGAGTGCGTGAGGGAGGGGTGACTCGAGGGCCCCAGCTGGGGAGGACCCTGTCCTGATGCAGGGGGTCCCCCAGGCCGTGGGAGCAGGATGGGAGCAGGCAGCCTCCCTGATCCCCGGGGGACGGGGTGACGACCGGGTCACCATCCGCTTCCCTTTATTGATTGATTTCTACGATTTCATTTTACAACGCGACAGCAAGGAACGCCAGCGCTTGTCATCAAGGAGACCCCTGGGGACTGGGCCTGTTCCAAGTCAGTGGCCGAGAGCCAGTGGCCGGCCAGGCGGGGCTGGGAGTGTGGAGTAGAGGGCTTCGGGGGCAGTGGGGACAGAGGGAACAGCAGGGGCTGGACCCTTCTGCACTGAGGGGCCCTCCTGGGACAGCGGGTCCCACTTGCAGCCTGAGTCTCCCCCGAGGAGGTGGGAGGTGGGGAAGTTGGGGTGGGGTGCCTAGGCCTTGGGGCAGAAAGAAGCCGGCCTGTCCCCTCGCACTTGCCCCTCACCCCCAGGGGGCGTTTATTGGGTCCGTCCTGAACGTTTGTTGGTTCTGCAGGTTCCCCTGGGCAGGGACCCTGGGGCCAGGTCCCCATCACTGTCACCAAGCTTCCACTCTGGGTACCCTTTTGGTTGCTGGGACATCAGTGCCACGTGAGACCACCAGAATTCCAGTGTCTGGGACATAGTTTAAACGAGGTGGGGAGTGGGGGGGTGTGACGGAGGTAGGGGTGTGGGGGTGCCGAGGCCAGACTGGGGGCGTGGGGGGAGGGGCCAGCTGCCAAGGCCATGGCAGCCAGCGCTGAAGACCGGGAGAGGGCTCAGGAAGGAGTAGCCAGCGCAGAGGTGGTGGGTGACCTCGAGGGACAAAGCGCCGGTCAAAGTGGCTAAGCAGGAGGGAGATGAGGGCGGAGAGGGGACGGGGAACGTTCCAGGACCTTGGGCTCCTCGGGCCTTTGGCCTGCAGCAGGAAGGTGCGGCCAGGATGAGGGGCCCAGCTCAGACAGATGGACCAGACTCCTGTCCGGTGTTGGGGAGCAGGGGGACTGCAGAGGGGAGAAAGAATGTACTTGACCACAGACTGGGGTCCCCGGGGACTTGCTCCCAGCTCAGAGGGGAAGAAGAACCTGGAGGCTCTGCACCCAGCAACAGAATGTTAAGTTCTGCTCGATTCACTGTGATTATGGTGGTGGGGGGGGGGGGATTTTGGCAGTGTGGCTGGGCGCCCCCAAGCGTGACATTGTCTTGAGGGCACTCGATGTGTGCAGATTTGATTACCCCTATACCTGCCGGATGTACCCCAAGGTGCAGTACCCTGCAGTAGTGCTGAGCCTTAGGGGGCCCTGCTGGGGGGGTGCGCTGCCAGGAGGGGGCGTCTGGGCTGCCGGGCGGGCCTCCCCAACTCTCCCCCTCTCCCCCACAGCACCACCCCCCACTCTGGCCGGAGCACGCCCAGCACGTCGCCGTCCCTCCGGAAGCGGCTGCAGCTCCTGCCCCCGAGCCGCCCCCCGCCAGAGCCAGAGCCGGGCACCATGGTGGAGAAGGGGTCTGACAGCTCCTCGGAGAAAGGCGGGGTGCCCGGGACACCCAGCACCCACAGCCTGGGCAGCCGGAACTTCATCCGCAACAGCAAAGTGGGTACCAGCCCGGGTGGGGGTGGGGGTGGGGTTGGGGAGGGGCGGGAGGAGGGGGAGAGGCCTGATGGGACTTGGGGATGTAGGTGTGGGGCGGGGGCACACCTCTGACTCCCCTCCTTTCTCTTGCAGAAGATGCAGAGCTGGTACAGTGTAAGTGTCTGTGCTGCGCTGGGCTGGTCTGGGAGGCTGAGAGTGCGGGGGGAACAGAGTGGGTGTCGGGGTTTGCAGGCCACTGCTCCTCCTCCTATGCTGTGTGACCTAGAGCCAGTCGATGAACTTCTCTGGGTCTCCCTGAGAAATAGAACCGACCTTCCCGGGCTGAAGGGAGTGTCCCGTAAAAGAGTCCTGGGGTGCTGGGGTACCCAGACAGGGCCTTGGCTGTGGGGGGTGGGGGGGCAGAGTGAGGGGCTCCAGGCCCCTCCCCGGCTTCCTCACCTCCCCACTGACCCCCAGATGCTGAGCCCCACCTACAAGCAACGCAACGAGGACTTCCGGAAGCTGTTCAGCAAGCTCCCGGAAGCCGAGCGCCTCATCGTGGGTGAGTGTGCCCGCCCGGCCCTGCGCTCGGTGCCCTGCACCCCGCACCCCACACCCCGCACCGGCCGGCCGAGCAGGCCCGCATGTGACTCGGGGTCTGCGTCTCTCCCGCCGCCTCAGATTACTCCTGTGCCTTGCAGCGCGAAATCCTCCTCCAGGGCCGCCTCTATCTGTCCGAGAACTGGATCTGCTTCTACAGCAACATCTTCCGCTGGGAGACGACAGTGAGCCCCTGCGGGTGGGCGGGCGGGCGGCTGGCTGGGCGGGCAGCAGGTGGCGGGCGGGCCTCCCCGCACCCCCCGCCTGACCCGCCTCTCGTCCTCAGATTTCCATCCAGCTGAAGGAAGTGACGTGTCTGAAGAAGGAAAAGACGGCCAAGCTGATCCCCAACGCCATCCAGATCTGCACGGAGAGCGAGAAGGTGAGAGGGAAGGAGGACTGCAGCCCATTGCTCGAACTGACCCCCTAATTGTCGCTTCCTGGTGCCTCGACGGTCGCCTCACCCGGGGGCCGGCAGGAAGGGAGAGGGAGGTTTTCCGGAAGCTTCACAGCAGACTTCCTGGGTGCTCTGCCCCTGGGTGCCCAACCCCTGGCAGCAGTGGGCACCAGGCTTCCGGCGCCGAGCCCACCTGCCCTGGCCCGTCTCCGGGCCCCAGACAGCTTTGGTAACAGTGGGGCATCTCGGGGACCCCAGCATCGTCCAGGGCATGGGGTTCTGGGGGAGCTCTGTGGGTGGCTATGGCTGACCCCTCACGCCCTCTCTCTTGCAGCATTTCTTCACCTCCTTCGGGGCCCGGGACCGCTGCTTCCTCCTCATCTTCCGCCTCTGGCAGAATGCGCTGCTTGAAAAGGTGGGCCTGGACCCAGGGGGCTTGAGTGATCCAGGGGGGCTGTGAAGCCAGAACTTGGGGAACAAGAACTTTGGGAGGAGGTCCCCAGCCCTTCTCCGGGGTCCCAGGCCAGCTGCACCTGCACCTTCCCCCATGGCCCCCCGAGCCCCCATACCGGGTGCAGCAGATAGGGAGTACAAAGCCTGATGCTCAGAAGTGAGGGTTTCGACGTGTGTGGCGGCCATGTCTGGCTGCAGCCGTGGTTCTGGAGAGTTTCTCGGCACCATTTGCTGGAAGGTTCTGCTGTGATGGAAGTGTGCTGTCCAGGCTGGTAGCCACTGGCCACTGATGGGGGCTGGACAAGGGACCAGTACGACAAGGTCACAATTCTTCATTTCTTTCTGATAAATCTTAATTATCTGTGCTTCTTGGTTAGCACCAGGCATATTTCTGTAAACTGTATGTTTCAGTACAAGAAACATGAATGAATGCATATGACTGGGGTGACTCTTAGGTATACTTGCAACTCGATATGTGGTTATAATAGAGGATATATGACTGATTCTCAAATTTTTTTTTCTTTTTGGGTCACACCTGGTGATGCACAGAGATTATTCCTGGTTCTGCACTCAGGAATTCCTCCTGCTGGTGCTTGGAGGACCATATGGGATGCTGGGAATTAAACCTGGGTCGGCCGCATGCAAGGCAAATGCCCTACCCTTTGTCCTATCTCTCTGGCCCCCGTGATTTTCGAACTTTATTGTCTCAGGAACCGTTCCTTTTACACTCTTGAAATCATTGTAGACTCCAAAGAGCTTTGGTTTAGCTGTAGGGCAAGCAGTATTTTCAACATTAGAAATTGAAGCTGGAAACCATAAAACATTTCATTTAATGTTTTTGAAGCACCTCCCTCCACCCCCCACCAGCAGTGTTTGGGGGCCCCAAGCCACTTTCTAGGGGTTTTCAGCTTAGCTTTGCAAGACCTGACTGGTGCTCAGCCATGCTGGGGGCCACCCAGGGCTAGACATACGCCCTGTTACTCAGGGACCATTCAGTGCTGACCATTCATGCTTGCTCTCTCCAACCCTCAGTGGGGCAATTTTTGAACCCCAGACTCAGTGGGGTGCTCTTTATCTTTTATTTTTTACTTTTTGGGTCACACCTGGTGATGCACAGGGGTCACTCCTGGCTCTGTACTCAGGAATTACCCCTGGCAATGCTTAGGGGACCATATGGGATGCTGGGAATTGAACACGGGTTGGCCACATGCAAGGCAAACACCCTACCCGCTGTACTATTGCTCCAGCCCCAAGTGGGATGCTCTTTAAACACGAAACTCCCCACATTCCATTAGCTGCTGGAGTGGAGACGGCATCCCATGTCCTGTGGCCTCTGGCCGACCCTGCACACATGTCTGTGATGTGGCAGCCTCAGGTGGGCTTTCTGGAGAAACCATGATGGTCACAGGAGTTTCTACACAGTACATGCAGCTGCAAGAAAATAACAGCCCAAACAGACAAACCAGACAGAGGTTTCAGCAAACGTACGAAATTATAGCAAAAGGGACTAATAAGGCCTTGCTCATAAGCTGGAGAGAGAATACAGAGGGGTGAGTGCATGCTTTGCACACCGGGTTCAGTTTCTGACACCACCTGGTCCCCTGAGCACCACCAGAAGTAGCCCCTGAGCACCGTTGGGTGTGCCACCCCCACAAAAAAAAAAAAAAAAACCACAATCTGGACTGGAGAGATAGTGCAATAGATAAGTCACTTTACTTCCATGGGGCTAACCCAGGTTCCATCTCCAACACTGTGTTTGGTTCCCTAAGCACCGCCAGGAGTGATCTCTGAGCGCAAAACCAGGAGTAAGTCCTGAACAGCACCAAGTGTGTCCCCCCTCCCCCCAAAATAAAAACCTGCAGGCTGGAGAGATAGTACAGTAGACGGGGCACTTGTCTTGCCTGTGTCGGATCCAGCTTGGATCCCTCGCACCCCCATCTGCTTCCCGGAGCCTCACCAGGAGGATCCCTGAGTGCAGAGATGGGAGTAAGCCCCGAGCACCGCTGAGTATAGCCCCCAAACAAAACACACCTAAAAACCCTGTTGCTGGGCCCGGCACTGTTTGTGGTACCTGAATTCAGTCACTTAACTGAGTTAGCGTGAAGGGGGGAAGGGGGAACGGGAAGGGGTGCGGGGGGTGGAGCTTCTCTTTGCCTAGAACTAGACCACCTGGCTTGCATGTGGAAGATGAAGGGGAGTAAATCCATTATAATTCATCCCTGGGGCTGGGGGAAATCTTCACCCCAAACAGACTGAGATTCTGTGGCTATGGGATCCCGTGAGAGGAACAGCACCCATGAGGCCTTGTGGCTCCCTTGCAACGCAAATAGGCTCTCGGTTGAGGCGGATGAGGGCAGTCCCCACACCTCTGAGCTCAGTGGCAGTCAGCCCTGGGATGAGAAAACCACATCCAACCTTCACCCCGCGCGCGTGTGTCTGTGTGTGTCTGTGTGTCTGTGTGTGTCTGTGTGTCTGTGTCTGTGTGTGTGTGTGTGTCCGTCTGTGTGTGTCTGTGTATCAAAGAGGCCAGAGTTGCCTCTGTCACCGGTGTGACCCCAAACACTTGGCTTGCCCTCCCAGGGCCACCTGTGCCCCAGCCAAGCGACAGGTTCAGCCATTAGCTGTCTGGGTGTTGAGGACCTTGGTGGGGGGGGGGGGGGGGGGGGTCAACACAGCACTTCCTGTGAGGACTGGAAAGGGAACGTGCTGCTGCCCCCCTGTGGACACCGTGGGAACTGCTGTGGCCTCCAGGAGGTGGACACCAACTGTCTGTCCTGCCTGCCCAGACGCTGAGTCCCCGCGAGCTCTGGAACCTGGTGCATCAGTGCTATGGCTCAGAGCTGGGCCTCACCAGCGAGGATGAGGACTACGTCTGCCCCTTGCAGCTGAACGGGCTGGGGTGAGTTGGCCAGTTCCTGGGAGTTGGAGGGGGACAGTCTCTCCATGAGTGGACTGGGGTGGACCAGGAGGGCGTGTGGCGTGCTGGGGATGCAGCAGTCACGTTCCCTCCCTTTCCCCCCTGCAGGACTCCCAAGGACGTGGGCGACGTGATTGCCCTGAGTGACATCGCCCCAGCAGCAGCGGCTGACCACAGCCAGGAGCCCAGCCCCGTGGGCTCACGCCGGGGCCGTGTCACCCCCAGCCTCTCCCGGGCCAGCAGTGATGCAGACCACGGGGTGAGGAGGGGGCAGAGAGGGGAGAGACGGAGGAAGAAGGGGTGATGGGGCGGTGGAGAATGATCTGGCGGGTGGGGGGGGAAACGGGAAGTGGTCAGGGGGAAAGATACGGTTGATGAGGGCAGGCAGCTGAAAGGACAGGTGGAGGAACAGGCTGGAGATGAGGAGACAGGAGAAACGGGCGGATGGAGACAGGCGGGTGGATGGTGGATGTGCTGGTGGTGAGGTCGGTGCAAAAGGGCACGGAGAAGGCAGTGCCCGCATCTCGGGCCCAGCCTGGGAGGATTTGGGGCTCAGGGGGGCTCAACATTGCATCCAGGGAACCCACGCGTCTCCCGCCCCCAACTTTGGTTTTCTTACAGCCCCAAGTTCCCGTGGCCTGGTGGGTCCCGGGGGCCTCCCTGGCTGTGATGGAGGAGGGACCAAGCTGTCTGAGCCTCTTTTGCAGGCAGAGGAGGACAAGGAGGAGCCGCCAGACAGACAGCCAGAAGCCTCCTCCAGCCAGACAGTGACCCCAGTGGCCGAACCCGCCAGCTCAGAGCCCACCCCACCTGACGGGCCCACCTCCCTGGGCCCCTTGGAGCTCCTGCCCAGTGAGGAAGTGTTAACGGACACGAGTAACTCCTCCTCGTCCACCGGGGAGGATGGTGAGTCACTTTGGCCTGTGAGTCCCCTTTCAGGCAGGTTTGATTGAAGGGCTTGTGGGGGCCCCCGACCCAGAAGTCCCGGGCGCATGCAGGCAGATTGTGGATTTTAGGTGGTAATCCCTGTGTGTCCTAGCATGAGAGCCATAGTGCAGCGGGGAGGGCGTTCGCCTTGCATGCAGCCAACCTTGGTTTGATCCCTGAAATATGGTCCCCTTAGCACCTCCAGGAGTAATTCCTCAGATCAGAGCCAGGAGTAACCCCTGAGCATCACTGGGTGTGGCCCCCCAAACAAACGAAAAAAATCACGTCTGGAATTGCTTTGAGGGCAGATAAGCTCAGACACGAAGCCAGACCCCCAGGGTTCACATTCTGGTGACACAGCCGCCTAGCTCAGCGACTGGGCACACGGACTTAACCGCTCCAAGCCTCATTCATTCTCCTCCTCCTCCTCCTCCTCTTGGCGGGGCAGTCTTGGGGAGGATAGCGCATGTTGAGTACCTGGGTCACTTAGTGTTTGTTAGCTATTTGTTCCATTTTATCTCCCCCCCCCACCCCCCATTTGCCTAGACTAGCTTCTTTTTCTCACGTGACTCCAGATTTTTTTTTTTTTTTTTTTTTTTTTTTTTTTGCTTTTTGGGTCACACCCGGCAATGCACAGGGGTTATTCCTGGCTCTGCACTCAAGAATCACTCCTGGTGGTGCTCAGGGGACCATATGGGATGCTGGGAATTGAACTCAGGTCGGCCACGTGCAAGGCAAACACCCTACCCGCTGTGCTATTGCTCCAGCCCCGACTCCAGATTTTTATGGGGGCAGACAGAGAGCCCCAGCTCCGCCCCAGACAGATCTGGTCAGGAGAAAGCTCCCTTTTTCTCAATGGCTGCTCCAAAAGCTCTAGGCTCAGTGCCTCTGATTGGTCCAGTGTAGAGAACGAGCCCGGCCCTGAGCCAATCACTGACTGAGAACTTCAGCCCGCCTCTGTCATTGCCGGGTCTCCCTGTTGGCAGGGAGTCTGGGTTAAGCTTCTACCCCAGGAAGGCGGGTCCTGCCTCTCCACCCCCCCCCCCCCCCCCCCCCCCGCCCCGGGCGTCTGGCAGTGGGGGACCCGGTGAGGGTCTGCAGAGGGAGGGCTGCCAGCGGCCTCACCCGCGGCCCTTCTGTGTCCCAGCCGATCTGGCCGCGCTGCTTCCTGACCTCTCGGGCCGCCTCCTCATCAACTCCGTCTTCCACGTGGGCGCCGAGCGGCTGCAGCAGATGCTCTTCTCAGACTCACCCTTCCTGCAGGGCTTCCTGCAGCAGTGCAAGTTCACAGGTCAGCCCCGTGTGGGTGAGGCGGGGCCACCGCGGGGTGTGTGTGGGGGGTGCCGTGCGTCACAGCCAGCTGGGCAGATCCGTGTGCAGTGAGACCCAGTATCCGGTCCACGGATGGCTTTGGCCTGACTCCCAGCCCCGGTGGCACCCCTGTTGTGAAGGGGGAGCCCAGTGTCTGCTTCATCAGGTTTTCGGGAGAACGCCGGGCGTTCATCCTGGACATATGTCTGGAGAAATAGTGGTTAGTCCGAGCCAGGGCCATCACGGGCCTGCAGAGATGGGGGTGCTGGTGAGAAGGGCAGGCGGAGACACCCACACACAACCCAGGAGGGCGAGAGCCAGGCTGGGGGCCTGCCAGAGGCAAAGCACATGAGGAAGGAGAATTTGAAAGCAAGGACTGAAGAAAGAACTGAGTACCTCTGGAAAGAAGGGGAGTGGGGCCAGAGCGATAGCACAGCAGGTAGGGTGTTTGCCTTACTTACGGCCAACCTGGGTTCAATCCCCAGCATCCCATATTGTCCCCTAAGTACCGCCAGGAGTAATTCCTGAGTGCAGACCCTGGAGTAACCCCTGAGCATCGCCAGGTGTGACCAAAAAAAGCAAAAAAAAAAAAAAAAAAGGTGGGGGAGCACAGCCCTGCAACCCTGCAGAGCCCCTGAGGCCAGAGGCAAATGCAATGGACCCCCACACTGAGCTGGGTGGGGAGGGGAGGCAGGTGGGTGCTGGCTGCACAGCGTTCCGTTTCCTCCCGCTGAACCACACAGCCTCCCCTCCACAATGAGCAGTCCCTGCCTTGCGTTGGGGGCAGACACCCCCGCCCCCACCCCCACGCCTACACCTACCCCGTCCTGCCTGCAACCTAACAGGAACCGGCATGTCAGGCTTCTGAAGAACTTAGTCTCTGGGGCCATAGAGGTTCCTTGGAATCGTCTAGACAGACAAGGGATGAGGTCATGTTGGAGCAGCAGTACAGTAGAGAGGGCACCTGTCTTGAACATGGCCAACCTGGGTTCGATCCCCAGCATCCTCTTTGGTTCCTTGAGCACCGCCGGGAGTGATTCCTGAGCACAGAGCCACGAGTGAGCCCTGAACATCACTGAGTGTGACCCACCCACTACACCTCACCCCACCCTCTTGCACTGCCCTGTAGCACTGTCCTCCCGTTGTTCATCGATTTGCTCGAGTGGGCCCAGTAACATCTCCATTGTGAGACTTATTGTTACTGTGTTTGGCATATCGAAAACATCACGGGTAGTTTGCCAGGCTTTGCCCTGCGGGCGAGATACTCTCGGTAGCTTGCCGGGCTTTCCGAGAGGGGCGGAGGAATCGAACCTGGCTCGGCCAGGCCAGCCGTGCACACGGCAAATGCCTTACCGCTGTGCTGTCGCTCCAGCCCACCCCACCCCCTAAAAAGAAGATATCATTGGATCAGAGATGGAGTCAAATCAGGACTGGACTAGAGATGCATTCAGATCCCTCCTCAGGAGGGGCTGGTGGGACAGACGGGGGTGGGGGGGGTGGGGGGGGGAGGTGTCCAGGATCCAGGGCAGCCACACGCACCCTGGGCTCCTGCAATGGGGACTGAGAAAGGGGCAGGTTTGGGGAGATATCGAAGCTAGAGTGGACCAGTGGGTGTGAGGAGTCAGGAGGCCTTCCAGGAGGTGATAACTGGCCCCAGAGTCCTGGATCTGTAGCTCTGGAGGAAGTTGGGATTGGTAGAAAGAGGGAAACTGAATCACGGGGGAGATGACCTGGAGGGGAGCAGGTGCCCCGAGGCTTCCTTGCTCTGAGTAGCACCAACCTCTTGAGTTTTAGGTGCCTGGAAGGAAAGAAAGGAGGAACAGAGCTGGGCGGGGGGGGGGGGGGGGGGGGGGGGGGCGGGGGGGGGGTGGTGGGTGTGTGTGTGTGTGTGTGTGTGTGTGTGTGTGTGTGAAGGGGGAACAGAGCTGGTGTGTGTGTGTGTGTGTGTGTGTGTGTGTGTGTCAAGGGAAGGGAGGTTCTGGGGGGGCTGGCTGTCCCCACAGATCTGGAGCTTCCCCGAAAGGCCTGCGGGCAGAGCACTGGAGAGCGAGCTCCCCATCCCGCCCCTCCCGCCTCCCACAGATGTGACCCTGAGCCCCTGGAGTGGGGACAGCAAGTGCCACCAGCGCCGCGTGCTGACCTACACCATCCCAATCAGCAACCCACTGGGCCCCAAGAGCGCCTCTGTGGTGGAGACGCAGGTAGGCCGGCTGCGGGGAGCGGGCGAGGGTGAGGGGCCCCCCCGGGGCCGGGCCAGGTGGCCTGACTCCTCCCTCCGCCGTCCTCCCCGGTGCCCACAGACGCTGTTCCGGCGCGGCCCACAGGCCGGTGGGTGTGTGGTGGACTCGGAGGTGCTGACTCAGGGCATCCCGTACCAGGACTACTTCTACACGGTGCACCGCTACTGCATCCTGAGCCTGCCCCGCAACAAGGCCGGCTCCGGTGAGCGAAAGGGGGGGATCCCCCCCCCCTCGCTCCCCTCACCCAGGGCTTGGGAGCCCTCCGGAGGGACACGGAACTTGCCTGTCCCTTCCAGGGAGGGGAGCTTGAAGCACCAGATTTGGGGGCTTCCCAAGCTCGGCGAGGTCGGGCCTGCCCTCCTTCCTCCGTGGGGAAGTCGGGGGGGCATTGGCCGCACAAAAAGTGGGGGTGCGGGGCCGTCTTGCCTGCACAGAGGAGCCCCAGGGCGTGCCCAGGCTGAGGATGGGACCAGAGTTGGGTCCAGGGCTGTGTGGGGGTGGCATTGGGGGCGAGCAGGGCGGGGCGGTGAGTGAGGGCTCTCTGAGCAGCCACCGGGGTGTGCGTGCATCGGGGTGACCCTCGATGACCCTCCCCGGCCCCGCCCTGCCCTGCCTGCAGCGTGTCCTCCGAGATCCGCTACCGGAAGCAGCCCTGGAGCCTGGTGAAGTCTCTCATCGAGAAGAACTCCTGGAGCGGCATTGAGGATTACTTCCACCACCTGGGTAGGGGCTGCCATCCGGTCAGGGCTGGGGTGGGAGAGCTGTGGGGGTCCCCCCGCCCTGGTGTGCAGACGGGCAGCGCCCTGTCTCATGTGCAGAGCGGGAGCTGGCCAAGGCCGAGAAGCCGTCCCTGGAGGAGAGCGGGAAGGACGCGCGGGGGGCTGCTGTCAGGTCCGCGGAGGCGAAAGCGGCCCCTGAGCTGGAGGGGCCACGGTGATGGGCCCCCAGCACCCCGACCCCGACCCCTGTGCCCGGGCTGGCATGCACACTTCAGGTGAGTCCCTTCCAGCAGGCCTGGCGTGGGTGGGGGGGAGTCGGGCTGCTCCGGGGCTGGCCATCTGACTGGGAGCTGTTCTCTGCAGGTTCCCTCAGCTCCCGCTTCTCGGAGCCGCCCGTGGACCAGGGTCCCGGGGCTGGCCTCCCCAGCGCCCTGGTTCTCATCAGCGTCGTGTGAGTAGGGGGCTGGGGATCGGCACACGGGGCCAGCGCTTAGCCCCTCTGGGCCTCTTGCATCGCGGTGGGAGCCAGCACAGCCAGCCTAGAGATCAGGCCTGCGAGTGGCTGGCAGAGCCCCTGGGCACCTTGCTCTGACGGGGGGGAGGGGGGGGGGACACACACACACCCAGCCCCGCCCACGTCTCCCTCACCCTGGGCAAGGGAAGCCTTTCTGGAGGAGCTGACATGGCCAAAGGCAGAATTAGATGAGCACCCGCCACACGCAGAAGGGGCCTGGGTGTGTTCACAGGATTCGCTCCTGTGCACTGCACCCACACTGAACAGGGTGACACGCAGGACGCAGCACCGAGCTGGCCCCCGGCCAGAGTGAGGGGGCAATAGTGAGGGCTGGGCAGGGGTACAGATACACTCCGGAGGCCAGAGGCGACTCTGTCCAGCGGAGGGCAGCCATTAGGGACAAGCCTCCTAGGGAAGCAAAGGTTTCCGGAGCTGAGACTCCCCAGCGCCCTGGGTTGGGGTGCAGACGTAGGAAAGGGACCGAGGGGTGTTCCTGCATATCCCTGAGGGTACCGAGGCTCCTTGGGTTGCCTGCCCACATACATCCCAGAGAGGCCACGGGCAGAGGCCAGGGCAGGGAGGGTGGAGGGGTGGCCGGGAGCTGCCGGCTGCACTCATCACTTTGTCTCTCCTCCCTGCCGCCGCAGGATCTGTGTGAGGTAGGGGTCCGCGTTCTGTACCTCCCCCGCCTGCTCAGGCCTCCCCCTATTTCCCCACTCCTTGCCTGCTCCCCAGGAAGGGGCTCAGAGCACCCGTATCAGATAGGCGGAGTCGCACCCCCACTTGGCGGCGGCCCTTAGGCATGTGGTCCCCATCCCCGAGTCTTGGGGCAGCCAAGAGCACCGCACCGGGAGCTGTGCCGTGTGGCTCACCTTTGCTCCGTGACCCCTGACCTCTGCCCCGCCTGCCCGCCCGCAGCCTCGTGGTCCTCATCGCCCTCAACGTCCTCCTCTTCTACCGCCTCTGGTCCCTGGAGAGGACGGCCCAGACCTTCGAGTCCTGGCACAGTCTGGCCCTGGCCAAGGGGTGAGTGGATGCAGGGCGCGGGCGGGCGGGCAGGCGGGTGGGAGCCAGGTGGGGGTGCAGCGCCAAGCTCACTGCCCCACCCCCCTCACCCCGCAGGAAGTTCCCGCAGACGGCGTCCGAGTGGGCCGAGATCCTGGCGCTGCAGAAGCAGTTCCACAGCGGTGAGGTGCGCAAGTGGCGTCAGATCCTCCGCGCCTCCGTGGAACTCCTGGATGAGGTGCGACCGCCACCCCGGGGCCCCAGTCTCCCACTCTGTGAAACCAGGGAACCTCTCACCTGTCCCGCCTCTCCCAGGGCCGCCAGAAAAATATCAGCGGACTGTGTGCCTCATCCTGGGAATGGGGTCCAGGGGGTAGCTGTGGCTTCATGTCAGGCTGGATCCAGCACTCAGAATCCACATTGGGCCCTTGCGCTGTGTCAGCTCTGCTGCTCCCCCCAACAATATGGAGGGGGGGCACTACAGCCCCCAGCATGGACAGGGAGGTACACCTCACTCCCACAAGCCAGCGGGGTCAGATGTCCATCACTGAGCCCATTACAGGGCCAGGGAAGGCAGGCAGGCGTGGTCCCGGTGACCCTCTCCCCTCATGTGGTGATAGAGGGACCACAGTTCTGCAAAGGCTGTTGAGGGTCTCATCTCCTGAAGCGGGGCTGAGGAGAGGGGTCCCCCAGATACCCATTTGCAGTTGGGGGGCAGCACTCTTCAGGCTGGGCTTGGGTTTTACTCTGGTGGCGTGGCCATGCCAGCCTGCTTCCCCCGCCTGAGACCTCTGGGAGGGGACATTGGAAGGGGCAGGCTTGGAAGAAACACAGATTATGTCTTTGGCCACCCGCAGGGGCCAGCTCCGGAGCCCGGCACACAGTAGGTGCTCAGGGAACATGGCGGTGCCAGGTGGTGGCTGGCACAGATGTCCGTGGCTGGGGACAGTGCTGGGGTGGGGGGAGGGAATGCAGCCAGGTATGTCCCCCAGGCAGGCATCAGGCTGGAGCAGGTGGACAGGTGAGGATGGCGCAGGTGGCTTGAGAACCCTTCTGGCGAGCCCGAGCCGGTGACTCCCTGGAGTCGCGCTGAGGGGCTGAGACTGATCCTCTGTGAGGGTCTGATTATTTTCTTCTCAGTTGCCGAGGGTGCGGCCTTGACTTCACACGTTAATGAGAACAGCAGGCACAGAGGGGCGGGAGGTGTGAAGTGCTGAAGATGACTAACCAGCTTGTTCCCCAGTCAGTCTGGAGGGGGCTGCTGCGATCCCTCCCCACGGGCTGGAGGTCAGCCCTGCCCGGGCCTGCACAGCCGGCACTCAGAGTCACAAACACGCCTGAGTGTTTCTTGGCCCCCCCCCCCATATCTCCAGAATAGCCTCTCCCCCCCCGCCCCCCTCCCCCCGCCCCCCCCCCCCCCCCCCCCCCCCCGCTACGCCAGCAGGCAGCCCACCTGTCTCCACTGAGAGACCCGGCATGCTTGGTTCGAAGTGGCCCAGGGAATTCCCAGAAGTAGCAGAGCTGGGACTTGAACCTTGGCCTCTGGGGTCACAGGGATCACCTCAGCTGGGGTTGGAGGTGCCCCACCCCCCACCTCGGCTGGGTTTGGGAATACCCCCCTCGGCTGGGTTTGGGGATACCCCCCTCCCACGCTCTGGTCCACCTCCTGTTCCTCGGTGACCCCCCTCCCTGCTCCCCACCTCTCCCCAGATGAAGTTTTCCCTGGAGAAGCTGCAGCAAGGAATCAGCGTCTCAGAGCCGCCCTTCGACGCTCCACCCCGGTCAGACGACAGCCTCTCCTGAGGACCCTGGGCCGTGCAGCCATCTCTCCTCACCCCTTCCCATTTTTCCCCCACGGACAGAGGGACACAGAGCCTCGGCGGCCACTGCTGGCACGGTGTGAGCGCCAGGGGCCTCCGCGCACCCTCCCGGGGCCTCGCCGACACGGGGGGACCACAGGCCCGAGATGCACTTTAGACCAGCGTGCGCGTGTCCCGCCGCCACTGCCTGCTCGGCCTGGGGGCTGGCCCGGCCCTCCTCCGGCCCCCGCTAACTTATTCTGCCCAGCCTGGGGGTGGGGGGTGCCTCCCAGGGGCGCACCGTTCCCTCAGCTCTGAGGTTAATGTATTATATTTATTGGGGGCCGACAGAGCCCTAATAAAGGGTTGGATATGGCTGTGGCTATACCTCTAGGGCCCGGGGTGGGGTTGGGGGTGGGGGGCATCCACATTTCCCGGGTGGCCTGCAAGCCTCAACTGTCACACACACTGGCCTCGTGGGGGGTGGGGGGAGGCTCAGGGCTGGTGGCCGGGTGGGTCTCAGTCCAAGCCCTGACTCTTGGCCAGCTTAGATCTGGGGTGTATCTGCAGCCCCCTTTGTGCAGGGGGCCTGTGGGGTCTCCGACATCACCGAGCATCACCTTCTCAGAATCCCTGGGAGATGGTACCGCACCCCCAGTGCCCAGTGTTGGGGACACAGCAGGCCCAGGCTGGACAGGAGTTCCCAGATGACACGGGTGGTGCTTGGGACCCCACTTTGAGAACCACTCTTAGAATGCAGTGAGCGTGGTGGCCACTTACCAGCCTGACAGACAGGAGGCACTTGGTCTGGTGTCTTGCCTGAAAATGGCTGGGTCAAAGGTCATGGGTGTACCTTGAGCCAAGGAGGTGCCCCACTCAGAGTCCAGGTCTGAGGGTCAGCCTGCCCCACAGTGACCCCCGACTGCCCCTCAAAGACCCCCCCCCCCCCAGCAGCGAGGCAGACCTGGCCCCTGGGTCTCTGCTTTTAGATGCAAGGTTGCAACCCCCTCTGGGCCCCTGCCAGGCTGAGGCTCTGTGACGCCCCCAGAATTCCAGAGGAAAGGGCCGGTCCTGTCCACTACAACCCGGAGCAGGTTCCAGACTTGGGTGAGACCCCAAGTCCTCCGCCTGATGAGTGGCTTTGGGCAGAGGCAGGAGGCACACGAGGGGGAGGGCAGCCATGCGAGCATGCAAGTGACCCACTCTGCCTCCGTATCCTGATCCGTAAGATGGGTGCAGCGATGACGCTTACCCTGAAGAAAGGATATGTGAACTCAACATGAGCCCGGGCTGCCCGTGTGGGTGCAACACCGACACCCAGCCGGCCCGTCCCTGCATCAAGCGCCACGCCACCCCCGCTTGGAACAGCAGAAGAGGTTATTTTCCGCCAGGGAGCTTCACAGCCCGGAAGGTGCTGGCGCCGAGGACAGGCCACAGAGGTGTCCGGTGTCCCCTGCATCCTGTCCCTCTGCCCCAGGCCTGCACACATCCTGGTTCCTCTCGCTGGACCCCAAGGGGGGGGGGTGTTCTGGGACTTCACCCCACCCAGAACTGGGCACTCGAGCAGCAGCTCCCCTGCCAGGTCTCGTTCCCACCCCAGTCTTGGCCGGATCCAGATTCCTGGATCCAGATTCCTGTCCTGTGGCTGGGGAGGGGGTGCTGTGGCCTCGGTTTCCTCTTTGAAATGGGGACCCAGTGGAAGTCGCTGCCAGGGTGTGGGGAAGCACATGCCTCTGCCAGGTGGCCAGGCCCTGGCACAGACGGTTCTACATTCATTGGAGCCCAGGCTCCTGTGTCCCAGGCAGAGCTCAGGCCATGCCCCAGATGCAGAGGGGACACAGGACACCCTCCCTAGGGGCTCAGGCAGGGCAACCAACTACAAGGGAAAAGGACAAAAAGTCAGGTAGGGGGCGGGGAGCAAAGAAGTCAAGGGGGTCAGTTAGGGTCCGGGGAGGCATCCCGCGCCCCCAGCCCTCATGGACAGAAAACTGGGAGCTAGTGACCAGAGCCATAAGCTGCAGGAGGTGAGGGGGTGAGCCCTGGTCCCCGCAGAGGAGCGGGGTGGGGGCTAAGGTCCCAGGAGCAGGGGCCTTGAGCGTGGGAAGACGATGGTGGATACAGAGAAGGGGGCCATGAAGGGTCCTGCCTTCCCCCCCCCCCCCCGCCCCCGCAGCCCGCCCCAGCTCCCCTCTTGCTGGACTCAAGTTGTCTGCTAGTCCTAGCCTGACAGCCCCCGCCCAGCGCGCACTTGGGTCTCCCAAGACTCCAAAAGGCCGGGGGTGGGGGCCGAGAAGGAGGTCACTTGGAGGTCCCAGCCAAGTTCTCCCGGGTGCCCCAGGATGACCTCCAGCATCTGAAGTCGGAAGAACACCTCCCACCCCCACCCCCCGCCAACGGCCCGCCAAGTCCTCTTGCGACTTTGGAGGTGACCTTCCCCAGACTCGCACTGCCGGGTGGTCCCCAGGCGCTGGACGGGTCCGAGCGAGACAGCCGGTGCCCCGCAGCCGCGGCGGGCCCTGCGCCACCCGGAGAAGAAGAGGCCGGGGCGCGGGCGCCTCCGGGCCGCTGCGGCAAAGGCGGCGCGGCCGCGCCCTCCCCCCGCGGTGATTCATCCCGCCCCCTCCGCTCCCTCCTCCCCGCCGGGCCCCGCCGCCGCCGCCGCCGCTGCCGCCGCCGCCGCCGCCGCTGCAGTGCGCAGGAGCCCGCGGCCCGCGCCGCGCCGAGCCGAGCCGAGCGGGCCGGGGTCGCGCTCCCGCCCATGCGCCCCGCCGCGCGCCCCCGCGCCCCAGCCCGAGCAGCGGCGGCCGCCCGCGCGGCGGGGGATGCCCGGACGCCGGGCCCCGGGGCTGGGCCCCCGGCGGTAACCGGAGCGGGGGGGCCGCGCCCCCCCTCCCCGCGTCGCCGTCCCAGAGCCGCAGCTGCTGCGCCCGCGCGCTCCCGGGGACATTCTAAGCGCCGCCGGGGCCCGCCGCCGCTCGCCCCGCGATTCGGACCCGCGGCCCGGGAGGGGGGGCGCCGCGCGCGCCGCCGCAACGCCATGGGCACGCTGCTGGCCTGGGTGGTCGGCGCCGCACTGGGTGAGTGCGCGGGGGGGCGCGCGGCCACAGCCCCGGCGCGCGGGACCCCGGTCGGCGGGGACGACGGCCACCCCGCCCGGGCCGGCCGGGCGGACAGTCTACGCGTCTTCCCAAGTTGCGCGCGGGCAGCGGGGCGCTGGGGCGCTGGGGGCGCGGGGCCCGGGCAGCGGGCCGCCGAGCGCCGGGTAGCGGGGCGCGGACGCAGACAGCGGGGCGCGGGACGGCGGGGTGCGGGGCAGCGGGGCGCGGGGCTGGAGGGCGCGGGGCTGGGGGGCTCGGGACAGAGGGGTGCGGGCGCGGGGCAGAGGGGCGCGGGGCTGAGGAGCTCGGGCCGGCGGAGTGCGGGCGCGGGGCAGAGGGGTGCGGGGCTCAGGGACTCGGGGCAGCGGAGTGCGGGCGCGGGGTGCGGGCAGCGGGGCGCGGGCTCAGGGGCCCAGGGCAGCGGGGCAAAGGGGTGCGGGCGCGGGACAGAGGGGGCGCGAGGCTCAGGGCAGCGGAGCTAGGGACGCGGGGCGCGGTGCAGCTGGGCGCGGGCAGCCGGGCTCGGGGCAGCGGGGCCGGGCTGGCCAGGCTCGGCCCCCCGGCGAGGGAACGCGGTGTCAGCTGCTCCCCGGAGCCCCGCAGGCTGCAATGTGACACCCACAGCCGCGACCGGGGGGTGGTGGTGGGGAGGGAGGCGGCGCCCGGAGCCCGGGGCGTCCGAGACCCGAGACCCCGGGAGAGGGGTGCGGACCAGCCTCGAGCACTCGCCGCTCCAGCGAGCCCGCGGGACCCCCGGGGTCGACAGCGGCGGATGGCGGGATGGAGAGTTAAGAGAGAGCCAGAGAGAAACTTGAGGCAGGAAAAGCAAACCCTGGACGCCCCACGAGGCACGGAGAGTCCCCGGGAGGGGTGATCGAATTGAGGAGAGGCAGGGAAGAAGGGGCTTCTTCAGGAAGACCCCGGGAGAAGAAGCAAGGAGGACTTGGAGTCGCGGCCCCCCCGGGACAGCTGGGGAGAACCGGAAGCCCCTGGGATCGATAGAGGAAGCGGTTCTGAGGCCAGAACTGGAGCAGGCGGGATGGAGCATCCGCTAGAAAGACCTGGGGGGGCGGGGGGGGGGGAGGTAAGGGGAGGGCAGCGTGGGGTGGCTGCGAAGGCCCGGCAGGGGAGCTGGGAGCAGGTAGGAGGGGAGTTTGGAGGATGCCTGGAGGCAGAAGTTGGGGAGCAGAGATGACTCTGAAGCAGGGCAGCGCCCTGCCCACCTTGCCGTCCGAGGCCTTACCTCCCCCATGCCCGTTTCTGTGGGGGCTGGGAGTGAACCCAGCCATCCAGCAGAATTAACTGACTCTAGGGATGGGGTGGCCAGGCCCCCCCTCCCCCTTCTCAAGGAAGGAATCTTGTGCTCCCCCCCCCCCACACACACACACGCACAAACTGCCAGCAATAAAGATACTGGCTTCCCTGGGGCTTCCCGGAGGGAAACTGAGGCACAGAGCTGTGACTTGCATGCATGGGGCAGGCCCAGGCAGGTGTCTGGTGTGTGTTTGTGGGGGGGGGTGGTCCCCGTCACTGAGGGAACACAGAGGACTCGGATGACTGCCATGCATCGAGGCCAGCGTGGCCCTGGATAGCAGGTCACCCTGCCCTCCCTGAGCCCGCCGTCCCCACAGTGACCGTGGCCTGGGGAGGCTGTGTGGAGGTGGACTCAGAGACGGAGGCCGTGTACGGAATGACCTTCAAAATCCTCTGCATCTCCTGCAAGCGGCGCAGCGAGACCACCGCTGAGACCTTCACGGAGTGGACCTTCCGCCAGAAGGGCACAGAGGAGTTCGTCAAGGTGAGTGGGGGGCCAGCCGGGGGAGGGGCCGGGGTTGAGCTGTGCATGGCCCCCCAGTGGGGTGGGTGGCCTGGATTTAGTTTCTGGCTCTGCCCATGAGCGGCGGGGGTCCCTTTACTGGGCTTCTGAGTCTAGTGCCCCTGGGTAAACTCGGGGTGCCCAGGGCCGCCTGCTCGTAGGCGTGTTTGAGTGACAGCACTGGGCACATGGTTGGCACAAAAGAAATGTCATTGGAGACAGTTGGTGGAAGCCAGGATGTGCCGGGCAGTTGCACAGAGCCAGACTCCAGCTCTGACCTCTGACACCCACTGCTCTGGAATGACCTGGGGTGTGTGTGGGGGGGGGGGGGTTGAGCTGCAGGAAAATTGGGGTCTCTGCCTCAGGCATGCATCTGGGCTCAGGTCGGGTGGAAGTGATTGAGGAAAGTGTGTGTGTGTGTGTGTGTGTGTGTGTGTGTGTGTGTGTGTGTGTATGCAGGGTTAGGG